TCAAAGCCAGGGCAGGGGTGGTCTCCGGTGTCCCAGTCGGTTTCAGGTATAAGTCTCTGCTGGAATGACATACCTGACACTGGGTGGGCAGGGACAGGCTACACAGAAAGCATGCCCTACTGCGGTCCTGGGCTCACCCCAAGGCCAGTTCAGACCAAGCTGGACCATTTGCAAGATTTCAGACCTGCTGAGAGGCTGGGCCTAAGAGGTTTGTGCAGCCCTTGCTCAGCTTTGGTCATTCTGAGTCAAGGGTCCAGTTCTCAAGGGCCTTTACAATGTGGCTTTTTCCTGTCCGTTGTAAGACAGTTGTCTGTGCCTGTAGGAGAGGACCATGTTTCCTCTGGGACTCCACTCCATCCCTCACAGCACAGAAGCTACAGCCCCAGGCCCCAGGCCTGAAGGAAATACGCTGTTGATCAGAGATGCTAGAACACGGGTTGTAAGCAGCCTGGCCACCTCCCAGGGCCTTATACTCCTGCTGGGGTGAGAAGGCACTGACATCTGCCAAACTCAATGCAGGAAGTATACTGAGTCTGCTCAGTACTGGCCCAAGGTGGCTGGAAAAGTCCATCTAGAGACTGAAAGGCTGGGGCACAGGTGGCTGAGTGGTCCCCATCAGGAACTCCAGGCCCAGTGCATCCAGTCAAAGACCCAGAGCCTGCTGGGCGAGAGCATCCGGGCTCTGCCACCTCCCGGAGACTCCCTCCTGGAGAGCTCCTCCCCCTCCTCCCAGAGACAGAGCCCTGGGATGGGGACGGCCTGTCCCGGCAGAGACACTCCCAGGTTTCAGATTTTGTCGAACAGACATCTCTTTCCATGTTCTTCTAAGACTAAATAAAGACATAAGAAATACGCCAAGAAAAACTGAGTGAAAGGATGAACAGAGCCAGTGAGAAATGCGGTATATGGACGAATTAACTCATAGTTTCATCAACGCGGGGCCTCAAGGAGACAGCAAGTCATTGCCGGAAAGAGGCAAACGCTTTTTGTTCCTGGCACGTGGTTGGAAGTCTGAAGGTGTAGGAAGCAATTAGAGGAAAGATGAATTCTTGGTCCTTTTTTTTTTTTTTAAAGATTCAATTTTTTTCCTTTTTCTCCCCGAAGCCCCCCGGTACATAGTTGTATATTCTTCGTTGCGGGTCCTTCTAGTTGTGGCATGTGGGACGCTGCCTCAGCGTGGTTTGATGAGCGGTGCCATGTCCGCGCCTAGGATTCGAACCAATGAAACACTGGGCCGCCTGCAGCGGAGCGCATGAACTTAACCACTCGGCCACGGGGCCAGCCCCTTGGTCCTTATTTTTAAAATAAAGGAGAAAAAACCTTTAACTTCAGCAGGGCTAGGTTAGAAAACCCAACTGGATCAAAGAGGACCTTGAGCCGGTGCACGCAAGGAGCTCTTGGGATGAGCCCGAAGCCGCGGCCGCAGGGAGTGTGGGTTCGAAGGAAGCCGAGGCCCACCTTGCTGACGCGGAGGGAAACGCAGCCACAGGCCGCCGGCCGCGCTCGGACTGGTCAGGAGAGAGCCTGAGAGCCGGAGAAGCAGAGGGCTGTCGGGAAGTCTGCCGCAGCCTCGTGGAAGGCGAGTCCCGGGGATCCGCCGGGGCCCAGGCGGTCCTGAAAAGATCAGACTGTCTCGGGGCTGATGAAAACTAAGCTTTAGTTACAGTCATTAATAATAAGGAAGTTTCAACAGAACAAAAGTACCAGTTGTAACCAGCTATCTGGATTTCTTTATATGGTATCCAGACTTAAAATGCTTATAATTAATAAACAGTTAAGTCAAACAATACTTACACTGTTATTTTAATCAAGTTTATTTTCACTGAGAAAGCACCCAAGGTGATGGGTGCTGAGGCCAGTCTTGCTTCTTTATGCTCAGGGGAGGTCTCACTGCTCACACCACCGACTGAGTCAGAGCGCTGTGGGCCACCCAGGACCGCCATCCTGACATCTTTGAGGGGAGGACCAGGTCTTGCCAAACCAAGCTGGAAAATGCCACCTTTAGGTCAGCCACATTACTCTAGGGTGGGTCTTGATGCAACAGATTCCCAAAGTGGCTCGTCCCAGCCACTCGGGCATGCTTTGCCACACTCGGCCTGCCTTTCGGTTCAGCGTGGGTGGGTGTCTCATGTGAGTAGCCCACCCCCAGGGTGCTAAGGGGGAGCCTTTCCTGCGAGCCTGCCTGCCCGGCACTGTCCCCCGCTCCAGCCAGGCCCTGCCCAAGGCTTGGACGGCAGGTCCTCACAGTCTAAGCTGGCCAGCTTTCACCCCCCCTCCCCTGCCTGTGGGTCCAGAGAAGTGAAGTCACTTGTCCAGGTCACCCAGCTAGCAGTGCTGGGCCGGGCCTAGAGCCCACTCAGTCAAAAGAACAGAAGCCGCTGTGTGCAGACATCGGCTCAGTGTTTGGCTTGCAAAGGCCTTTCCATGTGGCTGAGCCAGGACGCCGTGGCTCTGGTTCAAAGACGCCCCACAAGTTGCTGGGGCTCCGTGCTGAGCAAGTCAAGAGGAGGTAAGAAAGTCAAACAGACCCTCAGTGCCGCCTCCCATGGCCCCAAAGTGGGGGGCTCCCAGGAGACACTTTGTACAGATCTGGGGTTTCACACGACAAGACTGGAAGCCGTGGCTCTGCAGATTCTTGATCTTCCATCAGGCCATCCGTTAGCAACCCCTCCCCCCTTCAAGGAAGATGCTTCCCAGGCGCCTTACCACCCAAAAGCCCTTGGCCCCCCGTCCAGCATGGCCCCTCTGCTTCAGGAACACACCCGTCTTGAAACGAGCCTACTTCCATTTCCTCTGCGTCGCTTCGCAATCCAGGCCCCTGACAGCATCATGGTCCCTGACAGCACGACTCATGCTCACAGCTGGCCCCGCTCCTCACCCTCTCATCCCGTGGCCACCTCTCATCTAAACGTGGCCCCAGCCATTCTGGTAAATCCGCTGCCAAGGCTCACCCTTCCAAGGCCTAGCCCTGGTCTGCGTGTTGGCAGCCTGTGGAGGTGAGCAGGAAGCAGGGTCCAGACACACAGGAGCGCCTCCGCTCTGCCTCGGCCCGCTCTCCCATCCTCACATGAGTGTGCTCTGCTGAAAGCACGCGACAGAACCCCCGAGCCTCGGCCGTGGAGACCTTCTGGCCCACTGGGTTTAGACTTGGGCTAAAGGAGGAATCCTCTCCGGCTGAGCTGAGCAGTGTGCTGTGTGCTCACACATGCTAACTCACCTGTCCTCACGGCGACCCTCTGAGGCAGGAACTAGTCTTTCCATTTTCTAGATGAGGAAACAGAGGCACAGAAAGGGCACCTTGCCTTGCTCACATACCTGGTAAGTGGTGTGGTTGTCACTGGGGCCGTTCACCACCTGGTTCAGGCTCTCTGCCTTCTGGGCACTTCCTGGGCCCCTTGTGGGGAGCAGGGCCAGTGAGCTGTGAGCAGAGGCCACGGGTTCCCTTCTGGGCGGAACATTCCGCTGCGGGTATGCAGGCTTCCACAGTCCCCTCTGCCCCTGCCAGAGCCCCAGCGGCCGGCCCATCAGCCCGGGTTCTGGAGTGGGGAGCCGTCATCAGCGCCGGTGGTGACCTGCATGACCACGCAGCAGGAGAAGACACCTATGTCTGGGATGGGTCCGGCTGCTCTGATCTGGGGCGTGTGAACGCAGCACGTCCTGTCTGTTCTGCTGATACAGAGCAGGGTCCAAGTGTGAGCCCGGGCGGGTCCAGGGCTAGATGGCCTCTCATGGGAGAGAAGCGTGTGTCACTGCCACACAACTCCACATGGAAGCAGGACTGCTCAGGCGGGGCCTTCAAGTGACCCAGTCCCTCTAGGGAAGAGCCCCTGGGAAGAGGGCTGCCCGCCCTCTGCAGCGATTTACGACTTACCAAGCAGAGGAAGCCATTCCCCCATGACTGAAGGCCGCACGGCAGCCCCCAGGTCTTTCTAGGACCCCAGAGGCTTAGGTCCCAGGAAACAATGCTGCACCAGGCTGCATCACAACGCTCCTCTGTCTGTCCACAGGCCCTCTTGAGGGCAGTCACCCGTAGTATCAGGGAAATCCACAGGAGACCCTCAGGACTCCCCTCCCACAGGCCCGTTCTCTCCTCTTCCTCAGAAAAATCTTGTGCTTTGCGAACTGCCCCATCACCCACCTTTGTTCTTTCCCCTCTAGCTATGGAGGGCCCAGCAAGGCCACCGGCCCAGCCTGCTTTCTGCACAGAGAGGACAGTGGGCCCTCTGCCCTCCCGACCCAGAAGTCACTGACGCTCCTGTGGGCCTGGCAGCCTTTGCAGGCCTTCCCCACCTGTCTTCCCTTTTCCATTCATGCACACACACACGCAGGCACTGCAGACATGCACACACGGGGGTGACAGCCAGTTTAGGAGTCAAACACAGGCACTTCTCTGGACCTTTCTCTGGACCCTAAACAGTACTTTCCAGCCTGATCACTCCCCACCCCACCTCATCCAACAGATTTGATTCTGGCTGCTTAGAAGGGTGTTTCAGCCTTGGAAAATGGGTTTACTATCCCTGAGGAAATGAAAAAGATTGTGCTTCCAGGTCTGAAGGCAGTTCCCATGGCAGAGTTCAGGAATATTTCTCAGCAACGGCAGCAAGCACCACTAGGAGCGGGATTGGGCAGAATGGCAATCACACACCCAGATGTGTGCCTGTGTGGCCACCCCTCCCACACGGCCCTCGTGTCCCTCCTTATCTGTGCCTGGATGCACATGACCTTGGCTGTTCACTTGTTTCTCACCCGGGCATGTGACCTCCCCAAGGAGCCCAGACATTCGAGGTTACAAACTGCTTGGTGGCCCCCAGGACGCCCAGCACACTGCGGGGGGCTGGAATCCCTTGGCAGCCATGGGGCCGTGACTACCTGAGGAACCTTGGGCTAGCACCAAAATGACCACGGCAGACACCCAAAGGGCCACACTGGGCCTGATGCTCCAGGCGGCTCTCCAGAGCGGTCAGGCTAACTGCCTTTGCTGAAGCAACGCACATGGAGAGTTCAGAGCTTTGCAGGAATTTATTGAGAGCAGCTTTCGTGTACCAAAAGGGCACTGAACTTTCTCCATCCTTGGCAGGGCACGGCTGGGGGTCCCTTTATCGCCACTACTTGGTAGGCCAGACTGCGACGACCACAATAGCCACGAGCAGCAATAAAATCACCAGAATCATCCCTGAAAAACAGAAGCAGAAAAGACCCCTTTAAGATCCACAGCAGAAAAGCGCTACACATCCTATTTGGTATCTTCGGAGAGGACGGTGGACGCGGCTCCTCAGTATGTCCGTGCCGAGCCTTCTGTTTGAGGTGTGTGTGCGCGTGCGTGCGTGCGTGTGTGTGTGTGTGTGCGTGCGTGCGTGCGTGTGTGTGTGGCTCCGGGGCACTGCTGCTGCACAACTCTGGCTTTGCAGGCTGGTGGGTGCAGAAGCGCGGGGCTCTAGGCAAACCGGAGATGGCCCTCCCACCTCGACTGCGGGGGACCTGGGTGGGGCCTTGCCACTCAGCCCGGGGCGGGGAGGGTGCGCGCGCAGCCCCTAGCCCAGCTTCTCCCCGTGGCTTGGCCCTGTTTTCTGCCTGCATTGATGAGGCATCGATAAAGCAAAGGGCTTCCGCGTGTACAAAGAAATCTTAACTCTAGATCTGCTTTCTCCGCCATCCACATGGCTTTGCCTTTTCTTCTTATGCCCGATACTTAGTCACCCACCTGTACAAACAGCCAATAGAGGGACTTTCTCTTCATATATAGTTTTTGTACCACTATTTTCGAGTTTTATGTCTTCAGATTCTTGGCTGGGGAACACAAAGGAGAGCACTAGCCCTCGCAGCCGGTCTGCTCCCTGCGTCCAGCTCTGCGGCCAACCCGCCCCACCTCCGAGCTCCCGCATCTCCCTTATTGCTGCCCTTTCCTTCCACTGACGCTGACGAGGCGGCCGTCACTCAGCGAGTTCACCGCCTCCTAGTCCACTTACCCGGATGTAAAGAGCACTCACCATGGCCGTCGGACCGCCGCTACGAAGGAAGCACTCAATAAACCTTTGCTCACTCAAGGTCCCCGAGCTACTGAGGCCCGAGAGGGAAGTGAGGAGCAGATGAGATGAAGCCTGTGAAAATGCCCTCCAAAGTAACAAGTGAGTCAGACGCACAGGATGCTGTGGTGGTTTGGCCACGAGGACTACCCTCCTCAGACTGAGGACCCGTTTGAGGAAAAGTCAGAGTCCCAGGAGTTCACCAACTTATTCTCTTACAGGAAGCCATTAACATATTATTGATCTTATTAGCTAGATAACCGCTGGCCATGATAGGCTATTTAAATTTCAATTAATTAAAATTAAAGTCAAAAATTCCGTTTCTCACTTGCACTAACCATATTTCAAGTGCTTAAAAGCCACATGTGGCCAATGGCTACCATATTGGATGGAGACAATAAAGAACATTTCCATCATCATAGAAAGTTCCATTGGACAGAAGTGACACAGAGTATGGAGTTTCGATAATTTTATTAACCGCTGCATCCCCCGCTTCTGTGACAGTGCCTGGCGTGGAGACTCAATACATATTTGTTGAATAAATGAATGAATGGCTGTTCAATGTCTTTTCAACACTCACTCTACACTTGGATAGCTTCCCACAGCAAGAATTCTGCTTTCCCTTCTTCTTGAGTTGGTTTTGTTAAGTTACATTTTGCTGGGAAACTGCCCATTTTTTGAGTATTCAAAAGTATTGGCATAAAACTGTTCATTATATTCTCTCATAATTTAAACACTATGCTGTATCTGTGTCCTTTTCATTGCTAACGCCACTTAGTTGTGCATTCTTCTTCTTGACTAGCTTTGCCACAAGTGTGCCTCTTTTTATTAATCTTTTCCATGAACAAGTTTTGACTTTGTTGATCATCTGTTTATTAATTTTCACATTTTTATTAATCATACTATTCATAGACTTTCTTTGGATATACTTTCTTGTTCTTTCTCTAACTTCTTGAATTGAAAGTTAGCTCATTCATTTTCCATCTTTCTTCTAAATATCACCCTTCTAAAGCTACAAGTTTTGATAGGAAATAATTTCATTGTTGTTAGTTTCTAAATTCTAAATATTTAAAAATGTTCATCAATTTCTTCTTTGTCCCCATAATTATTTAGATGTTTTAAAATTTCCAATTTATATTGAAGTATGCTTATCAAAATACATATTTTTTAAGTTCTGAGATAATACAGGCACTATACTTTGATGTGAATATATCTGTGATTTCCATTGGTGACAGTCACAAGTACGAGCAATACCGCTGTGGCTTGTTGCCTACTTTCTTAATTGAAGAAAACGCTAAATCTCAATTAGAGGTTAGTGAAAATAAGAATGCAATTTGCTTTCCCATCCAAGTTCCCTAAATTCTAGCCACAGATCTCCAGGGTTCAATATCATTCAGGTAGTGTAAATTTTAAACCCAACCCATGTAAACACACCCTGTCCATGGTTTTAGATACTGAGGAACCTTCTTTGTCATCTCCCTGTGACAGTGGGTGAAGTTTTTCTAATACCCCCTCTTTCTCTGATGATCCAATCTTTCGAGAGTGTCCCCTCTCAGGGACCTAAGATTTTTTCCTCCTGTCTACATGTGGACATAAACCCAAGCTCTACTTCAGGAGTGGGCAAACTCTGGCCCACAGGCCCAGTCTGGCTGGTGGTCTGTTTTTTGTACAACCCATGAGCCAAGAAGCGTGTTTTATATTTTCAGTGTTGTCAAAAAAGAAGAAGATGTGACACACCGTCTGTGGTCTGCAACGCCTAACCTATTTCCTGTCTGGCCCTTTCACGGGATTTTGCCCACCCTGCTCGACATCACTACGGCTGATAACGCCCCAGCAGCCGCATCCGTTCGTTTGCTTAGGTTCTGGTTGCCAGTTCTCTCTCCATTTCTTTCATCTGGGGATTTCCTTTCTTCCTTGTAAACTCAGCTCTGCATTAACATTCAGGGGGTTTTGTAACATTTGATCTAGCATTTCGAGATGCTCGTCATAAGGTGTGTGTGAGTGAATATCATCTCTGTCCATCTTCTTGCCAGAACCAGAAAACAGATCTCCTTTTTATTCATTTCTGCCTCCAGAAGCATCTTCAGGTTGACCAAAAGCTCCAGCTGGGCAGGAATCCCACTACTTCCTGGCTGGGGTGAGAGGTTTACCTTGTGCAATATCAGGAAATATAATGGCAATGGAGGAAGCGGACAGACTGAGGCAGAGCACGCGGGCAACTGCCAGGCCGGAGCCTCGGCTGACCCGAGAGACGGGGAGGAGCTGTTTCTGAGGAGCGAAGGCAGATGATGAGCGGTGTTTCAGGAAGTACTCTCACGGATGCTCAGGCGGGATCAGAGCTGGGAGAGCACTTGAGACCAAGAGGCTCCTTGTGCAGCAAGCGTTTCAGACCGAGGCTGCAATGGCCCAAAGGAGAGGCCAATAAGTGACCTTGAATTTTCAAATCAGGGCGATTGTGAGAAGAGCAGAACAAGGATGAGAACAAAGAAATCAGGAACAATAACCGGCTGGGAAGAAGAAACCAGCCATCCGGGTTTAGTTTATTTACACGAAGCTTGCAGTCCAAGGGAAGACGCCTCAAGGTGTCAGTAGTTACCACCATCTCCTCCTTGGGCCACTGTGCTGGAGTGACCTGCTGCTCACTTTACCCAATCCACTCTCCACAACTGAGCTGGACTGGAAAGCAGATCAGGTTACTTCTGGGCTTAAAGCTGTCTGATGGCTTAAAGTGAAACCCGAACTCTTCATGGTGGCCTAGAAGGTTCTGTGCAGTCTGGCCCCTGCCCCTGAAGCCACACTCTGGACCTGTGCTCCAGCCATCCTGGCCTTTGGTTCCTCCAACAATCCCCGCTCCTTCCTGCCTCCTGGCCTTTACACATGCTGTCCTTTCTCTGCCCGGAGAGCACTGCCCGCTCTTGGCCTAGTTAATCCCTACTCGCCCTCCAAAACTCAGCATGTGTCACTTCCTTCTTGACCTCAGATTGACTGTGCTCTCACTGTCCCCTCTGGGTCTCTGTAGTGACCCTTCTTAAATCATGATTTAGGTCCTCAGCTAGTTACCCTCTGTCTCCGCCCTGGCACATGAGCACCTACGATACGGACTCTGCCTGCCTCGTTCCCCACCATGTCCCTGGTACCTGGACCAGAGCCTGCTCACAAAAGAGGCACAACACATCCTTTTGTATATAAATGAATAAATGTATTGAATGTCCGGGAGGGACAAGAAGAGCCAATACAAAAGAAACAGAAGGAACAGTCAACAGGGAGAGAGAAGCTGAGAAAATGTGTCAAGGATGCCAAGAAAAGAGAAAATTCAAAAGGTGGTTAACAGTAGTCTACAAACACTGGGAGGCACCAGGAGGACAGGGAGAAGCTCCTGGCTCTGGAGACCTTTACTGTGTCCGCAGAAGGGCGGGGGTGCCTGTTGGGACTGTATTAATACCTGGTTCCTCTTTAAGCTGCTAATCATTCTACTACAGAAACTGAATTATACAAATTGGGCCATAGTAAAGGAATGACAGGGTACGCAATACCCGTGAAAGACGCAGATGCACTTCAGCTCCTGACAGCACAGGTACTAACTCGATAATATGTGATAAACTGGGTGCTTGTCCAAAGATGAAAAGGGGTACGTCGAGAGCAACGACAAGTAAGACTTTTACATTTCAAACAGGGTTCCTATGGGGAGGAAATTTTCAACAGGTTTAAGTAAACTGGTGTGCACCTAAGGGTCAAGCAAGGAAGTCATTTTAAGATGGCAAGTGACGGTGATAAGCAAGAGCCAGCTGCAGCCTTTTGGACTCTTTTCGTCAAAGAGAAGGTATTTGCTGCTTATCGCTGTGAGCCTTTCTCTTTACGAAGCCCGGCTTTCCTGGAATGTGATGGCAGCGCTGGCATCCTTCTCTCCTCTGAAGGACATTGTGGAAAGAGTAACCAAGGGCCTTTTTAAAGCAAGGGAGCTAAGCCATGCCATACATGGAACATTCACGCACGCCAGGTTCTGTACTGACTGCAGTGGGTGAATCGCCTCGCTTAATTCTCAGCTATAGAGAACTCTCGACTCCACTTCATCGACAAAGAAGCTGAGGGTCCCGAAGGCTGACTCTCTTCCCGAAGCCCTACGACTGGTAAGAGGAAGAGCTGGAAATGGAATCCAGGTGGGACCAACCCCTTGGCCCAGACTCAACCTCCCTCTGCACCAGGGGGCCCGTCTGGGGGGATCCTGACTCCTGACAGCGTGGGGTTTATCAGGGAGAAAGGCCCAGACTTTGGGCTAAAAAACTGGGATAAAGAGCTTCTTCTCTCTTTTTTTCTTCTTCTCCTCCCTTTCTCCTTCTTTTACCTTTTTATGGTGGAAAAATTTAAACAAATACAACAGTAGACAAAATACTGTAGTGACCTGCAATGAACCCATCACTCAGCTTTAACAAGGATCGATTCATGGCTAACCTGCTTTTATCGCTACCCTCACCTGCTCCCTGTCCCCAGTGTATTATTTTGAAATGAATCCCAGACATATTTCATCTGCAAATACTTCAGTAAGTATCACTAAAAGATAAGGCATCATTAAAAAAAGCCCACCACCACACAGAAGCTGTGCTATTTCTTAAAGACGGGGGCAGTAAAGACCCTCCGACACTCCAGATGCAGGAAAGTGGTCCCAGCTAGAGGACGCAGGAGACCATCCCGCCGGATGGCCACGGGGAGAATCTGCACAGTGTTCAGGCACGTGTGAGAGAGAACCTCTTTCTCTTGCCTCAGAGTAGTGCTCCAACCTCAGGGGGGCTAGTCATCCATCCCCCAGCTGAGGAAATGTTTGACATTTCAGAACGAGGAAAGACAGTTGAACTTCTGGGGACCTGCCAACTTCTTAAACAATGAATGCTCTTTGCCCCCAACCCTAGCGCAAAAACACCTGGCGCGGCTCCTGACAACGGGATCATTTCCTCCGCGCCTCACTCGGCTCCGCGCCTGGCACTGCTGGCACCTGGCAAGGCCGTTTCCTCCCAGTGCCCAGTGCCCCTTTCAGGGCAGGCAGGGGATGCCAGAGTTACAAGAGTGGAAAAAAAGGTCCATTTCCTTTGGTCAGTTTACCAGATGAGTATTACTCACCCACTTACAATATTTACAAGTCCAGCTCATGGCAATTAAAAAAAGATGTAAGAAAACAAACTCCTTTTCAAACTGGGAAAGGATATGAAACACGGCCTCTCAGAACAGTGTTGTGTTTTCTGAAGATTGTTCATCTGGATTAATGGTCCATGTTTTTTTCCAGTGAAACACTGGAAACCTGCAAATTACGGAGGCTGTGCTGCCAACACCCCTGCCACAGCTGAGCCAGGTAACAGCACCGAGCTCTTGCTGACAAGGAGGGGGACGAGGAGAGTGCGGAGTCCGTGAGAGGGAGCGCAGACCCCCGGACCTGCCCTCTCCCCCCAGCTGCGGGGAAAGGTGGAGACAAGCATGGTGGGAGAGCAGGGGGCACGGAGCAGTGAGGGGGCAGGAGGCAGGGGGATATGAAGGGCAATTTTATCTGGAAGTCCTTTTATTTGGTTTTGTTTATCACAGGAAAGCCACACTGGCTGCCTGTTATTGTTGGTTGTTTTAAACCAAAATATATAATCCCTTACTCTCTGCCTTGTTCTTCACCCTGGAAGAGTTAGGGCTAAGAAACACCCCTTCCACAGCTAACAACCTCGAAAGATCCAGAGGACATTTACGAAAGGCTGCAGGTCTGGGGGCTTTTCTCCAGCCCATCAGTGGGTGACATTTGCTTATGTATTAGCCAGTTGGTTCTCACTAATCAAACAGAATTTTCGCAGCAGACTCCTGAGCTGAGGTGGGGAATAAGCAAGAGAAAAGACAAAACCGGAATATTTGTTTTCAAAAGTTCATGTAAATGTTCCCTTTAATCCCATTACTGGGCAAATAAGCTAAGAAAAGGGGAGCTGCCACGCAGAGAAGGTGAACTTATTGACATTGTGATCTCAGACTGAACGGCTGGGGAGCTGCGGGTGCCCTGGAGGTCACCCCTCGGCCTAGGCTGCCCTGTGTGCCCTGCTCGTGGCCGCAGCGTGTGGGTGGGGGCTGCCCTCTTCCAACCAGCCCAGAAGCTCAGCAGGTAGGGGAGGCCGTCCTGGGGGCTTGGGTCTGCCCGAGTGGTGGGGGTGGTGGGAGAGGGCGCCTACGGCCTCTGCCCTCTCCCCTCTTGAACCTCTGTCCCCCACGGTCCCACATTTCACTCTCCCCGCCCTGTGCTCTCCTTCACACACTGAGCAAAGCCAAAGTCTTCACTGATGTGCTGAGTTCGGTCTGCTCTCCTCAGGCATCAGCCCGTCCCTCCAGGCTCTCGTGGCCCTGTTGGTGGGTGAACCTCCCTCTGCAGTGCCAGCGGGCTCCCCGGCCTCCTCAACAGACCTTCCAGCCTCTCTCCCCGCCTGCTTACACCCTCGTCCCTTCCTCACCCGACCCCAGGACCCAGCTGCTGACTGCTCGGCCGGGCCTCCACCTCCTCCAGGAAGACTGCTCAGTCCACCAGACCGCGCGTCCCCTGGAGTCCGAGAAGCATCTACAGCCAGGTCAATGCTCTCAAACGACTGTCCTTCATCTGTCAATTCTTCTCTTATTTATTACTATTTCTTTCCTTAAGTCACAGGATTTCCGACAACAGGGACCACAGAGTCTGACGTGGTGGCAGGGCGCTGGTTTGGGGGGTCAGGGACACTTGACTTCAAACCTGCCAATTCCGATTTCATAGGCTTGCTGTGAGGATTCAGTAAGATGAAGTGCATAAAACTTCTAGAACATACCTGGCACTCCCTAAATGGCAGCTATGATGACAATAATTTTTGCTCCTTATATAACCCTCTGCCTAAGAATGGTGCCTTGTGTACAGCAGATGCGCCATAAGCATCCTGTGAGAGAGCTGGCCTCTCAGTTGAACAACAGAAATGAAACATCATTCACTCCACAAGAGAAGGAAGAGGTGCAAAACCAGAGGAACACCTGGGTGGCATTTAGTTTAGAAACGGAGAGCCCAGCTCTAGCCGAGGCCCCGCGGAGATGACGGGCGTCCAGGCGAGGCTGGAAGTTCAGAGTGGAACATCTGGCAGCATCCGTTTCGGTGATTAGCCACAGGAAGGGCAGCTGTGCTGGGCGAGACGCTGGCTGAAGTCAAAGGCAAGCAGAGCACAGCCAAGTGGACACCAGGTGAGAGAAGCTGTGAAAACCGAAATGTGAAAGGCCTTTGAGGAAGGGAAGGTCAGGGCAGGGGCAGACGCTGAGGATGGGGTCACGGGCGAGAGAAGAAGGTTAAGAGAAACCCCCAGGGGCACCTAGAAGACGCGCAGGAAGCCTGAGGGAGCTGTGGAGTTGGGCCCTGCACCGTGACATATTCAACAATGTGGGACAGAGAGGGCCTCAGAGGCTGGCGAGCCTGGGCACTCTAGCTATGGCAGCACGAATGATAATGACAATGACGACGAAAATGATAGCAGCAGCGAAACATGAATAGAAGTAAAAAACAAGAGTTACTCTTGTGCCATGAAGTACACACGCTCAGAAAGTTTTACCGTGCTCAAGCCCATATTATCCCCACCATGAGGCAATGAGGCTAACAGAGCAACAATTTTCCCCAGTTTATGGGTGAGAAAATGGGGCTCAGAGGTTAACCACCCCACAATGCCTTTAGGCCAACCCTGTGAAGGCAGGAGGCCAAGAGCAGGACTGGCTTCGGGCAAATGGCCACCTTCTCTGGGAAGGAGCATTGTGGAGCTCAGCCTGACTCAGGCATCTGGGGTTCAGGGAGAGAGGAAGCAACCTGGGCAGGCCTCGGAAGTCCTGCCAGAGAAGGTGGAAACCCACTGTGACACAGAAGTGACAGCGCAACTCCTCAAAGAAATACATTAGAAAGCAAAGCTAGGGCCTGGAATCTGCCTGTGTTTTGGTTCTGACTGAAAACAAAGAAAACTTGAACTAAACAGATCTCAACTTTATCTCGGCTTTGTGTGATGCGGACCGAACGTGTCTGTGACTGTGTTTGAGTCTCTGCCTTTCGACAAGATGACAGTCTAGGAACACAGCATGGGGGAAAGAGGCAGGGTTTGCCAACTCCAGCCTGGCCCCTTGCTAGCCTAAGGGAGCAAGTTACCCAACGCCTCAGGGCTAACGAGGGATGACGCCTGTTTCCCAAAGCTGCAGGAGGATTAGGCGACATTTCATAATGGCCAAGGGCATGGCACACAGCCGCTAACTCAACACTGGCTCCATTCTGAAAAGGACAAGCTTCTTGAAGGTAAGAACTGTGGCCTTCTCTGAAGTGACTGGCCCAGTGTCCCAGGAGTGTGTCTGGATTTGTGCTGAGGTGACATGGGGAGGAGAGAGGCACCCTCCTTACATTGGCAACCCCCCACCCACACCCCCGTCTCCTGAAGGCCCAGGACATCTGGAAAAAATTCACCTCCCCAGTCCCTGGGCTGGCACCCCATTTCTATGCAGACAAGAGGTAATGCTCTTCATGAATAGAAAAACTTGAAAAAAATCAACTCGAAAGAGAAGGTAGCCGACTGTGGGAGAAGAGAGTGGTGGAGAGAGAGACATCTGGGGGCCAGAGAGTGAGAGCATGCTCAGCAGGAAGCAGGAATCAGGGGAAGGTGACCTGAGAGCAGTGGGGGTTGGGATGAGGAAAGAAAAAGGACTTGCCCAGAAACAGGAAATTAAAAGGAATTAAGACTGCAAGAGACAGGGCAGAGGAGCTGGGTGGAGGCCTAGAAAAAGGCAGGTTCCTGGGGTCTGGGCTCTGGGATCCGGGCAAGGAGGGCCTCGGTCACAGCCACAGGCTGCGGTGAGGCCGACACTTGGTCAACAGACCCAATGTGAGAGCTCATTGCAGCAGCACAGGGCAGTCAGACCTGCAGCAGAGCGGGAAGACCTGTTGGTCAAGCTGTTGCGATGGGTAAGAGGAGCTGAGATAGCTGGATTCGCTCACAGCAGAAACGAACCCAACAAGTGTTTACTGAGCGCCTAGTGTGGGCCAGGTCCAACGGGGGCAAAGATCCTCCTGGCCCCATGACAGAGGCAGACAAGCAACCCATCCCCTCCTCCTCAAAGCAAAACAAAAAACCTCTGCAGATGACACCGTTCCTCAGAGGGAGTGTGTGAAAACTCAGCCATTACTGTTGCTTCCCGCATAGAAAGTGCCGGCTAGCTTCTAGGCCCCATCTGTGTTCTTAAAGTGTTCTTCATTTCCCTTCCCTGAAATAAGTTCAGCCCAGCGATTGCCACAATTCAACAGCAGAATTCAATTGTAAATAGATAATCCTTCATATCAGCAATCAAAAGCAGCTTATTAGGAGTTGTCAAGTCAATAATTTAATGCCTATTCTCTGGCGCATCAATATTTGCCAAGAAATATCCCCTCGTTGTGCCGCGTGTTACCCCTGGGAATGTGAAGCTGTCTGGAGTCTGGCAGAAATTCAAGTGTCTTTGAAAAGACAGTCAGGAACTCTGTTATGGATATCTTGTTTTGACAATTCCCTCCTGACTAAGTGTCAAAAGATTTCTGGATGGCTCCAGTCAGGCTGTGGATCCACCACTACAAACACCTTCCTTTTGCTGTATGGACTGGGAACATCACCTGGCATCAATTAGGGAGAGCGGGCAAGGCGACAGGAGGACGCCATGGCCAGAGTTCTAACTCAGGTACGGAAAGGCAGAGCAGAGAGGCCACCAAGAGAATGCTTTTTCAATACATCAAATGCTTATCCATCTGATTTTTTTTTTAAGCAAATCATTTGGCCAAGATGCCGAAGGCTACTGGGTGGCAGATCTGAACTGAGTCTCTGAGTTCCAAACCTCAGAAGAACATATTTGTTGGGGCGGGGGAGGGAGAAGAGGTTGGCAGTAGCCATGTCTGTTCACCGTGACCCTGCCTCTACAGACACAGCTCATGGGGCCAGCGGTGGAGCCCCAGTGGGGCCAGTCAGGCTCTCTCCTCTGGGAATTTGGGATTCTGGACTGCGCAGAGCTGGGGCTCAGTTACAGGAATGATGACACCGGAGAAGGGTGATCCACAAACTCGGTCCTGAAGATCCCAGCACGCACCTTTGTTCCAACTCTTCCTGAGAACTCGCTGGCTCAAATATTCCTTAGATTGTCACAAATAATGCAACATCATTCCAATACATTCCATGTTCTTTAACTTAAATGCCAGTCATTGCTTCTTAACATGCAACCAAGATCTTTCACTAAAGATCCCATCAGCAAAAATAACTATTTGTCTCTAATGATTTGGAAAAACATAAGAGTAACATGAGAACACTTTCACTTTACTGGTCCAGTGCTGAAAGGACAGTCCAAAGGTGCTGCTCCTGAGAGCAGACAGTCTGTGTTGCATCTAGCACCTACTCTGAATGGGCCGAGGTCCCAATTGAAATAGCTGTCACCATTAAGAGGCCTTCTCAGATACCCAACTCTTCTCTTTTGCAGCCACATATCCTATTATTTTACAGTATTCTTTGACTAATGTTATAGATTGACTAACGTTGTAGATATATAATGTTATAGATGTCTTGAAGAGTCAAAGAGGATAAGAGATGTGCTCAAGTTCTCCGGCAAGAGGTATATGGAGCACAGATCAGTGCAGAAGAGCTCCCCTCTGTAAACAAAGCTAACAAGAACTCCTTGGAGGGGTGAATTAGTTGCTTGGAGACTTCCCTCTTGGGGATCCCTCTTACCCCAGGGCACACCACGCCCATCGGGTGTCTGGGTCAAGCAGGTCCCAGGTGAATGCACATTGTTCCTGCCACCACAGTGCTTCTAATAAGAGCCACACCTACCACCCTGAGTGGTGCTAGGCACTTTATAGACATTACACATACTACACATTGAGATGGTCAATAAATGTTTCATCAACAAATGAAACAGAAGGTCCTGACTCCTGATGTCGTTAGGAAAGCAAAAGCAATACTGATATCCTCGGGTTTCTGTATCACTACTGGAATTTAATTTATTTAACAAATATTGATTGAGCATGTACGGGTACCAGGCACTGTTCTAGGCACTGGAGATACAGCAGTGAACAAGACAGACAAAGATCCTTGACCTCATTATGTTGCTATTTGTGTGTGTGTGTGTGTGTGTGTGTGTGTGTGTGTGTGTTTGTATGTGTGGGTGTGTTGAAGGGTGCAGTGGGTGAAGACAGACAAAAACCAAAATAAGTAAATCATGTAGTGTGCTTGAAAGTGGTAAGTACTTTAAAGAAAAATACAGCTCATCTCTTCCTATTGTGTATGGTAGGAGGTAGCTCAAAGGCATTGATCCCCTTTCCCTCAGGTTCTAGAAATGTGTAAGGGGGAAGGAGTGTTAATACTTTCCAGAAACCCGTCATCCCACAGTGGGATCTGGAAACATACTGCGGGTAAGGTTAGGGTGCCTTCCTACACGGCACCAGGAAACTGCCATCCTTGAATGTTAATAATATGTCAGCTTAGAAATAACACATTACGAAAGTTTGCTGGAATGAAGGGTGATGTAATGACAACTGGAAACAGAAAAGGGACTTATTATGGAGTGTAGGAAAAGGCGAGTTGGAGAGGAAGAACTTGTCAATGGGCACCCAGCACTTTCCAGGGCAGGGTACCCTGGCCAGCGAACTCTGGTACCTGCCTGGTCTGTGGGGTCGTGGGGTCTAATACGAAGCAAGAAGCAGTATGCTGCTCCCTGGACAGCGGCTATTCCTCAGATGGCCTGTTGTGACAGTTCTGTGCCCAAATGAAAAGAAGTGTGCTTCTTAAACTGATGGCTGCTGCCTTTATTAGGAGCCCTTTCACTTTATAATAGTGTTGGGCACCAGCTGGTTGCTGAAATTGAAAAGGAAGCCAGGTGGTGGTGGTAGAAGTCGGATGAAATAGTAGACACAAGCTGTCACCAAAAGTTTGGAAGAAACTGGGGAAATGCATTTCACTTAAAGTGGTGCCTGCTAGCACCAGTTCTGGTGCTTTGGGTAGAGGATAACTCTGTCATTTCAGAGGCCACATCTGCCCCCACCTAGTCTCAGCACTCCTTTGGCCTCCAAGGTGACACGGACTATAGATAACCAAGAGCCGCAGTGGGGAGGGCGGAAGAAAGATGACCGTTAGGAGCTGTGGGAGAAAAGAAAAATAAGGGCTGGAGAGAGCAGCCAGACGTGGTCCTTTCCTTTTAAGAGCTGCCTTTTCCCAA